AATCAGCCCAAACTGTTCTTATCTCTAATAATGCTGTTTCTACTTGACAGTGGGCACCATTTAGCTCACAGCTCACTACCAACTCTTCATTCCCACTTGAAATCATCATTGACTTGTTGTCTCTTGCACACACCAGACTATAAACAAATGCCATAGGCAGGGCTTGGCATGCTTTTTGACTCCGTTCACCCATGTCCTTTGCATTGCCTAGTAGGCAGCAGATACTTGGTGAGCCTTTGTCACATGAACTAATGGATGAATCGTCAAGACACTCAACTAAAACCTGAGTTCCCAATCAAAATGAATTCCAAACTTCTTAAACTGCCTACAAAGTCTCTGACAATCAATTATTAGCAGCCTCAGTATAATATAGAAACTCAGTTACACCTGCCAGATGATTATCTTCAGTGATTATTTCTATTCATTCAAAAGTGCTTCCAGAAGTGAATTCTGAGATTTTTCCGTATTACTGTTCACACACTTTTGTTTCAGGCTCTGCACTCACTAGACCCTCCCAGGGACAGCTCTGCCCCTAAAAAACTACATGGCTCACCTTCCACTTTATTCAGGTCTCTTTTCAGAAGCCATCTGTTCTGAGATGCCTCTCAGGACGATCCACCTTAGTCACTCTCCATCTCCTACTCTATTTCCCAGGTAAATTTTTTTTTTTGGGGGGGGTGCCAGGGATTGAACTCAGGGGGCACTCAACCGCTGAAATACATCTCCAACCCTATTTTGTATTTTTATTTAGAGACAGGGTCTCAAAAAAAAAAGCACCTTGCTTTGCTGAGGCTGGCTTTGAACTCACAATCTTCCTGCCTCAGCCTCCGGAGCTGCTGGGATTACAGGTGTATGCTACCAAGCCTGGCTTATTTCCCAGGTAAATTTTACTGGATATATTTTGTTTTCTTACATACCATGCTTCTCCCTCCACTAGACTATAACTCCATGACAGTAAGGACTTTTTTTATGTTTGCTCACTGTTCTCTCTAGGGAGCTTACAACAGTGATGGGCGCCTACCACTTATTTGCTGTACTATTTAAAAAATCTAGATACCCTTGACTGACTTTCGAATCAAAGTATTATTAATCTTCATATTTATTCTGGTCAACTGACAAGGGGTAAAAACACTGATTCTAAAACCATCCAACAGAATAACACCTAAAATGACAAATTTGGAGATATAAAGGTGGGCCTATTTTTAAAAACTGGGGCATGGGGGCTGGGGATGTGGCTCAAGTGGTAGCGCGCTCACCTGGCATGCGTGCGGCCTAGGTTCGAATCTCCAGCACCACATACAAAGATGTTGTGTCCGCCAATAACTAAAAAATACATAAATATTAAAAAAAAAAAAAACAAAAAAAACCGGGGCATGGACTGGGAAGTAGCTCCTGCCTCACATGTAGAAGGCCTTGGGTTGGGGGGGGGTCGGGTAAGGGGTGGGGGAGATGCAGATGACTAAACAAAAAAACCCCACCTGGGGTATAATATAAATATGAATGCTACAACCACTAAAAGTTAAAATACTACATAGGTTCTAGAATCATAATGTTAAAGGACTAATATTTGTCAACAAACCCTTTCTATGTAAACTCCTAAGCAACTTAATGAAACCCTGTCTCAATTAAAAAGGGGGGGGGCACCTAGGGATGTAGCTCAGTGGTTAAGCACATAAAACCAAACATAGGTTGAGCATCCCTATTGAAAAATTCTGAAATCATAAAGGCTCTAAAATCTCAAAGTTTCATATCTTGGAGCAGATCGGATTTTGGATTTTTGGACAGGGATGCTCAACTTGGTGAAGCCTATGCAAATATTCCAAAATCCAAAAAAATTCCGAAACTGGAGACATTTCTTGTTCCAGGTATTTCAGATAAGGATGCTAAATCTGTAGTTAGCTTAGTTCTGATTTAAGAAAGTATGACAAATCAAGAGAATTTTAGGGAACGCTTCAGTTATTCACAATATATCACCAAGACCAAGATTTAATTAATTGCCCACAGGTGAAGGTACTTTGACACTTCAAAATATTAGCAATATATAGTGTTGATATAAAAATACTCATATGGGGAGTGGGGTGCATGCCTGGAATCCCAGCGGCTTGGGAGGCTGAGGCAGGAGGATCATGAGTTCAAAGCCAGCTTCAGCAAAAGTGAGGTGCGAAGCAACTCAGTGAGACCTTTTCACTAAATAAAATACAAAATAGGGCTGGGGATGTGGCTCAGTGGTTAAGTGACCCAGAGTTCAATCCCTGTTAACAACCCCTCCCCCAAAACAAAACACAAAACCCCATTCATATTAGAAATGTAAAAATTCACTTCATCAGAACATGATAGTTTACTTTCTCCATGGATCTTTGGAAATCCCTACCAATTAAAAAATAAAAAAACAGGTACCATAACAATTCATTATGATAAATTTATCTAAATCCCAAATTCTTCTTGTTGAATGAATGGTTAGGCCTCTTCCTACAGGCCCACAATTATAAAGATTTTGTGAATAAAAGAAAAAGTCTTGGTATACTTCTCACAAAAAAGTAGACCAAGATGTGTGCCCTTCCCTTGAATTATTTCCTTCACACCAGAGAATAATTCCTGAGACCTTACATCTTGAGAGAATGAAAGAGATCTAACAAATGAAAACTATCTGGTACACATAACACGAGCAAGTGCACGTGCATACACACACACATATACCACCTCAACCTATCCCTCTGTTTCCCTCTGTTTAAATCACTGTAATCCGGGGCTGGGGATGTGGCTCAAGCGGTAGCGCGCTCGCCTGGCATGCATGTGGCCCAGGTTCGATCCTCAGCACCACATACAAACAAAGATGTTGTGTCCGCTGAAAACTAAGAAAAATAAATATTAAAATTCTCTCTCTTTAAAAAAATAAATAAATAAATCACTGTGATCCACCATGTGAAAATCAATTCTAAATTTCTTAAACTGCCTACAAAGTCCTATATAATGTGGTTCCTGGATAATTCTCCATTTTTGACACAGCACTATAGCAACCTGAATGTTCCTAAAAAAAAAATCCCAATATTCCAAGCCCATTTCCATCCTAGAGCTTTTGCACTTTGTATTCCCTTCCTGGAAAGTTCAGTTCCCTCACCTTTCCCTGAATGATCTCCATTCCAAATGTCACCTCCTCAGAGAGGCCTTGTTTACCTATCACATCATTCTGTCACTTGTCACTATCTGAAATCACCTAATTTATTCCTGTCTCCTCCACATAAAAGCTCCAAGAGATGGGTGTTCATTTTTGTTTTTTCCACTGTATTTGTATTCCCAGAGACTAAGTGGTTGTTTAATAAAGTTATAAAATGAGTAAAGAAATGCTCTCCCATTCATCCAATTCAGAATAGGAATTGGTTTCTCTGTCCCGGACCCCAGCTGATACAAATCCCAATAAGCACAAAAGAATTCCCTTGTATTGATGAAAAGAAGGGAAAGATAAAAGGTCATTAGCAGTAAGAGATTTACTCAAGAGCCTCAGGAATTATGGGGAGAAAAAACACGTGGGGGGGGGCACACACAAAAAAAGTCAAAGATGAGAAAAAGAGTAAAGGGTCCCCTTCTGTTCATCCACGGAAGAGTGATGCCTCTGCATCTTCCTTGTGGCAAGCATATGTGGGACTCAGCAGTAAGCACGACGAGACAAGACCACCAAAGAGCTTACATCCTAGCAATTAAGAAAGACAAGAAACAAGTAAATAATAACCAAATGTAGATAAAATAAATGCAGTGGGGCTGGGGATGTGGCTGAAGCGGTAGCGCGCTCGCCTGGCACGCGTGCGGCCCGGGTTCGATCCTCAGCAACACATACCAACAAAGATGTTGTGTCTGCCGAGAACTAAAAAAAAAAATTAAAAAAATAATAAATGCAGTGAAGTAAATAAAACTAGGATAATGTTCATGTATAGTCGAGGAAAAAGATTCTTATGTGAGTGGATCAGGACTCAGGGGAGGCCTAGGGTGAAGGAAACGTAAAGGAAGGGGAACCTGCCTTGCAAGATCTGATGTTGGCAATTTCCAAGCAATTGAAAGCACATGCAAATCTTCTAAGGTTGGGATGAGGTAGGAATACTTTAGAAAAGTCAGGTCAGTGTAGCTCCAATTGCTAAGGAAAAGAAAAAGAGACGGGGGTAGCGGTGGACCACGGCGAGCTCATGCAGGACCCGAATGAACCGCGTAAATAATAGCGGTCCCTTCAAAGCCGCTTTCCTAGGCACATGTTATCCACACCACTTTGCAGGTAAGGAAACGGAGGTTCGGGAGATGAAGTGACTAAGTTACACTCCAAGGGAGAGGCTAAGCGTGGAGTGAGCCCAGGCTCCACAGACGCGGGAATGCCATGTTACTGAGCAGTTATGTGCTGCTCCAAGCGCAAGGACAAGAGTTTAATCCTCACAAACAACTCAGCGAAGGGACATCGCAATGCCCCGTCCACTGCCGGGGAGAACGAAGCACAGCGTGACTGAAGGAGGGTAAGCTCCGGGCCTCTGCAGCGCCCGGAAGGGACGACCGAGCAGCGCCGGAACCCTCTCAACCCGAGCCTGGGCAGGCCTCTCCGCGCATATCCCGCTCTCGCTGCGGGCCGGCGCGCCGAGAACCGACGCGGTGGCGCCACCAATCAGGGGCGGCCTTCCCGTGCGGCGAGGCGGCGGGGCGACCAATCAGCGCGGCGCCAGAGGGGAAGGGGCGGGCACTCCGGCGGCCCACGTTAGGCCGCGCCTCAGCCGCCCTCGCCCCTCTCAGGCCCCGCGCCCGTCGGACCTGGCTGGAGACTAGAAGCCTCGGGATGCTAGGAAGCCTGTCTAGGCAGGCGCAGCCCTGGCCTGGGTGCGCGGCCCGAGGCACAGGCCTCCATTCCGCTCTCGCCCGAAGGCACGGACCCCAGTTCCCAGGGCTCAGGAAGTGCCGGGAGCGCCTCATCCCTCCCTCAGCGGGCTCCCAGAGCCACCCTGCTATGCCATGCAGGTCTCGCGCCTCACCTCGTAGGGATACGGTGACACAGGAGGGAATCCCAGCCGCGCACTGTAGCCGGCAATACCCACTCCCGCCGCTGCTCCGCCTCACATTCAAACCCTGGCAAAATGGCGCGGCGGCCAAGCGGTACCCAAAGCGCATGCGCGAGCGGCGCCCAGACAGGGGGCGAAGCCAAGAGTGCGCCGGCCCCTCCCGTGCGCCAAAGGCCAATCGCTCTGTGGCTCTGTTTCTTGCGCTGACGTCACAGGTGACATTGCCCTTTGGCCGTGACCCCTCTAATGGACTTCCCAGTCTCTGCTTTATGAAAGGAACGCAGATTCAGATTCAGCGAGTGGTTGCTGGACTGTGTGACCTACTTTGATGTCAGACTGGACACGTAGTAGAGCTCGGGTAACTGCCACGTTCGTGCACGAAGCAAAGGGACGGAGGAACTCCCCGCCCCTCGTGGGGCTTCTGTTTTAAAGGGAGAAATGTAATAAACAAATGAATTAAGAATTCCGTATCTTAGTAAGTGCTATAAGAAGAAAATTTAGAAAACCAGATGGTATGATAGTATGATAAGCAGTGACTTGAAAGGTAAATGGCATGATCAGAGAAGCCCCTCTCCCCCAACAAAAGAAATTGACGTGACTTTCAACAAGGAGACTCCAAGGCTCCAAGGTCAGCCTGGCAAACTTGAGCTTCCAGGAGGATGAGAACAGAGGCTCTGAGGCAGAATGACCTAGGCTGGGAGGGCCTTAATGGAGTTAGAGAAGCCAACAGGGGCCAGGTGATGTAGGTCTGATAAGACCAGGTCTTAAGTGCATCCATTACAGAACAAGGACCACATTTATATTTTTAAAGGCCTGACATTGCTGTGTAGGAGAATGAACTGCATGGGGGGAAAGGCTTGAAGCAGAGAGGCCAGTAAGGAGGCTGTTGGAGGCATCCAGGAGAGCAATAGGATGGCCAGGATTAGGGTGAGTAATGGTGCATAGGAAATAATCTTAGGTTGGGTTTTAGAGACGGAGCCCAGGAGGATCCAGTGATAACACCGAGAGTGTGCATGGGGGTGGGAGGGCAGGGACTAGTCCTCAGTTTGCCTACCTCTCCTTCCTCCCCTAGCAGACCCAGCTGCCTCCACTCAGAGCCCATCCTTTGGAATTAATAGCTTACTACTAATAGACCCAACCTGATCTTTTCTTAAAATTGGGAGCCATCTCACCACAAACCATGAAAAGATAATTTTGGCTTTACTATAAACTACTGAAAATTCTGAACCTGCTTGGAATGCCTGCCCGTGCCTTGAACTCACCCATGCCTGGCTCTCTGACCAGACAGCAGCCCTCTCTAAAACTAGTGATGCCTCACAAATATTGGCCTTCCCTGGGCAGATACTGACCCTCTCTGAGGCTCTAATGACCTTCATGAATTCTGATGTCGGGGCCAGCAAAAAATTAGTGTGATGCTCCTCAGAGTTCTGTTATCTGTAACCCCCCTTCGTGAAACTTTCTGGGCTATAAAGCTGGGCTGCAGGAAAGCTGGGGTGGTGTCTTGTTCCCGCGGTTTTGGGTGGGAGAGGCAGCCCGGCCAGTCGAAATAATAAGCTTGCTTTAATTTGATTTTAATTGGAGTCAGTAGTCTGTTCTTGTGCCCTGGTCTAACATTTTGGAGTTCCCCAGCGAAATGACCCTGCCCGACCAGACCACAAGACCAGACTGCTGGAAATTCTAATCTGGCCTTCGCTCCAGGCCTCCAGGCTGGAGAGCCACTCTAGGGGGTGCGCACCTTGAGACATTCCAAGGCCTTGGAGTGAGCCTCAGTCCCCAGAGCACTGCAGTGAACTGCCGCACTATAACTATCAGCAAGCACCTGGTGGAGGAGGCCTCCATAGGTAAGTGGCGCCTTTATAAAATCTGGTGTCGTGTTTATAAAATCTGGTGTTGTGTTAAGGGAGATCTCTTCTGAAGACAGAGAGGTGGCCTGGCGAGGCTCACATATACTCCTGTCTGGGACAGTAACGAGAAATCATTCTGTCCTCTGTTCTACTCTGTAGGGAATTCCTCTGGAAGGGTAGAGAGGTACCAGCAGGCACGCACACGCTCCTACCGCTCCTACCCGGGGAGCTTTAGCAAGACATTGCAATGCTCCTCATTTTTTCTGTTTTGGCGCCGGTTTCTGTTTTCTTGTGTTTTGTTCTGTGTTCTATATATTTTTTGTTTGTTGGTTTTTGTGCCTTTTGATGTGTAACTTCTGTGGTAAAAACTTAAGGATATTGGATATGAAAATGAGTAATAAAGCAAGTAAGCCTGACCCCCTTTGGACTGTGTTTTAAGGAACTGTGATGAACTTTACCCCCCTTTGTTAAGCTGGAGGAGAGAAGCCCCTAGCTGGCTGCTGGAGCACACCCACTGCAGAGGGCAATGCCTCCTGGGGATCTAAGAACTGAGTATCTCCCAGGTTAACAGGTGAAACTCCTTTAAAACTCCTTGTCCCTCCAGATCAAGAGAGTCACAACCTTTGGGGCAGAGTCCCCTGTGTTTCTCCTTTGTTAGCAAAGCAATAAACCTCCCTTTTTCTTTTTCTCAAAACCCTGTCCTCATTATTAAATTGGCATTTATTGGCTTCAAGGTCAGGAATGGAACTTTCAGTTACAAATTTTGACACCTCAGAGGGAACACTATTGGAGCCCCGGGGAACTTTTTGAGAGCTGACCACTGAAATGTTAGGAGATATGGAGCGTGCCTGGGGTGGAACCAACCAGAGGAGCTAATCTTGTAAGTAAAAGGAGGGACTGAAGGACTCCCAGCAGCTGCCGAAGTCCTGTTGCTTCTGGAAATTCCCGCCTTCCTTCCCTGCAATGTAAGGATTATGCCACCTCTGTCTACTTAAAAAAAGAAAGAGAAAAAGAAAAAGGGGACACTAAATGAGTAAAGTCGCCACCGAGACCCTTGATTTTACATTTCAAGTTGCCGCTCTGTGAAAACATCTGGTCCCCTTGTGGAGACATCTAGGGTGCCACTGGTGTAGGAGATTTTTCTCTTATCTGCTCTGTTTTAAAAGTTTCTGTCAGCCATAGTCTGGAGCTCCTTTCTGTCTGTCTGTCCTGTGTCTTTGTTTCTGGCCCTTTAAGACATGTGCAATAATGTGTTGATATTATTAATTGTTTCTTGGGAATGATCTAGGCTGAATGTATGTCTAAAAGATGATGTTTTATTGTAACAATCTGGTATCTGAATGGGTTTTTGAAGCATTGCACAATCTTGCAGTTAAAGGTTGGGTTTAGGTAATTGTTTAGTTTATGATTTCAGATAATTCATGCCAGAGAACTTAAATACTTCGGATGGATAACTAAAGAACTCTACTTCCAAGTTGGCAAGTAACTTCCCAATCATTCAGTTTTTTTTCACCAATTTTGAATTGGGTAGCCTGGGAAAATGTCACTGTGTGTACCAGTGCATTACTTTGGACAAGGATAGTAAATCATAGTATGGTAGTATGGTATCTGTTGACAAAACAAGATGTAAAGATAAAAAATTTTGTGAATTGTATCTTAAACTTGTATCATAAGAACCTGAAAATTATGACTTATGGTTAAAATGCCTTAGGCATGAGGTGTCTGCTCAGAATAGCAGTTTTTCCCTGCTCCTTCCAGACCTCAGCCAGGACTTATGTTGAAATGCAAATAAAAGAAGCCTGCAAGTCTGCAAGCTCAGTAGGAGACTGATCTGAGGCCTTAAAAAAAAAAAAAAGAAAAAGCAAATTGTATGGTTTTTACTAATTACTGACCAGTCATTTTTCTAGGACTCTTGCTTTTTCTTAGATTCTGTATTTTTTTGAGCTCATGATTTTGATCCTACAGACCTAGATTAATGTTTCTCTGATCAGTTCTCAAACAACGGAGAAGTTTTTGAAACATTGCAATGGAGATTTCACCTGCGAAAAGCTACAAGGCCTTTACTATTGTGTTATGTGTGCACACTTGTGTTATGTATTGTATGTCTATATGTCCATATGTCCATATATCATATATATGATATACAAATTTTATATATATATATATATATATATATATATATATATATGGAGCACTCATAAAAACAAATTTTTAAAAAATGGATCCAAAGATCCTTAATTCACTTGATTTAAATAGTTCAATTTAAATTGGATAAACAGATAAAAATAAATGTCTTTCAATTTAAGCTTAAAAGTTTTTCTAGGTGTTCAAAAAAACTAATAAAATATTAATGTCTATAAAATGTCTAATATGCCTTGGTTCTAGGACTTTTCCTTCAATAAGAAAAAATGGCTAACACTGTTCAATACACTTGTCTAATATTTTGATAAAATAAGTAAAGTAAATTTGATATGGGATTACTCATTCATGAGTACTTTTGTTAGATATCTGATTGATTTACGAAGGTCTATATAAGTTTGTTTTTACAATCAGTCATATGTTAAAAAGACAAAAATTTCTTAAAACATAAGTTTACCCATAACATTGTGTTTATTAAGTTTTATTTTTTTTCTAGAGCAAGCAACCATAAAAATTAAACAACTGGTTAAATAAGAACTGTTATCTTACAGCATTATACTGTCATTTCTTTAAAAGCTAAACTTGGTTAATATAGAAACATCAATGTAATTATGATGCTATTAATGTGCTCATATCTTCCAGGTATACAAATCTATAAGGTAGAACTTTAAAAAGCATTATATCAAGCTGGTGTTCTAAAGTTGTATGGTAATTTTAAGCTTAAAAAATATATTGGGGATTTATTTACCTGTTATCAATAAGATATGTAAAGTTTTATATTACTTTTTACATTGGGGAACAATTTAAATGTATTTTTAAGTTGATGAGAGCCTAATCTACATAAAGGTTAATATTGTAAAGCACAAAGTATTTTGCTACCTTTACACAAAAGGTTAAAAATTTTCAGCCTTTCTTTAATTCATGTTTTAAATGTGATATCATATGGTGTTAGCTAAAGTTCATGTGACCTCAAACAATTTATGTAAACTTTGTAAAATGATATTTAAAAAACAAAGATCAGCTTTAGAACTAGAACACTTAAGATTTATGAAGAGCCCTGCCTTACCTGAGATAAGGCTCTGTGTCCCATCTTACCACATGTGAGAATGACTACGAAAGCAGTAGGCCAGATTTTAGTTCATTTAAAGTTATGTTCAAAAGTTGTTTTTTTTCTGTCAAGATTACTAGGATCTCAAACAGGGGATGTAATGTGTAACTCAGCCAAATTTCAAGGTAGCTATTACACAAACTAAATATGTTTTTACTCTTGTTAATTTTATTTTGTAATTTCCTTATAAATGATCTAAAGGTTCCCTGTTAATGTTTTGCAGAGGTGTTGCTTTAAGAACACAACCTGATGGGGCTGGGAATATGGCTCAAGCAGTAGTGTGCTCGCCTGGCATGCGTGTGGCCCAGGTTCGATCCTCAGCACCACATACAAACAAAGATGTTGTCTCCACCAATAACTAAAAAATAAATATTAAAAAATTCTCCCTCTCTCTCTCTCTCTCTCTCTCTCTCAAAAAAAAAAAAAACCAAAACAACTTGGGTTATTTAAGATAATAAGCCATCACCTACAAGACAGATAGGATAATACAGGCCCCAATTAATAGAAAAGATAAATAATTGTAAAGTTATAGACATTTAAAA